TCGGTATTAGGGTGGTCTTCAAAAACTAGGTCGATGGTGAAAACAGATCCCCGCAGTACCTCTCTGGTAACGGCAAAGTTAACATGTTCATTGTTTTCGCCAATGCCAGAAATATTGGACCACACGGGCGCATACCGCTCAGCGGTTAGACAGTGCTATTTGCATCCGATGTCCGGCAACCTGGTGTATTGGGCATTACATTCTACCGGATGGCATTCGGCGTATCATATCATTATTAAAGAGGGGATGTCCCGGACAGCATTGTGCGTACTGGGACAAGGGCAAGGGCTTTAAGGATCAGGATGGTTATGGATTATTGGGATCATGGAAGATCGTGATGCCTAATGGGATGTTGGAACCCCAGGGTCAGTAGTATTTCGTTTGGCTTCTGGGTTCGGTTCGTGCCAGGAGCTGTGAGCTATTCGGATCCATATTTAACTCCTTTTCAGTCCTTGGATACGTCTCCATCGCCTGTCTAGTCTAGTGCATTATTTCCTCATGTTTTGCACGCCTTGTTTACCGGGATCTGACTCGCGCTGCTGTGTTCGTGGGTCCTTTCCGTAAAGAGACACTGACACTCCATTTCTTTCCCTACGAGTACCCACAATATGCTCCACCCACACTTGTGTGCTCTAGAGCAGAGGGAAGGCATGCGAAGAGAACGTGGAAAAAATGTATGAACAACAAACATATAAAAAGGATTTACAACCGGAGGACAAGAAGGGGGGTACAAACGCACCCGGCTATCTAAATACAATATAAGTAGCCCCCCACAAACGCCGCACGCTAGATCATAAACGGGGACCCACGAATTCTGATTCGACTAATTAAGGTTAAGCCAACTTGCTATGGCATGCCCGCTCCAGAGGCGAATGAAGGTAGTTGGTGTGATGGACGTGGTTATGGGGCTATTGTGGTCCTTGCAGAAGTGACATATAGGTTACCCGTATTTGAAGGCAGTAAGGAGGGCGACCCCTCTTAGGCAGTGCTAAGAGTGGAGGATGCTGGGGGCTGTAGTAGAGCTACCACTGCCACATGCCTGAGCCTAGCTGCCCACTGGAGCGGCGTCCTGCCGGATTGGTCGGGGCTGTCGGGATTTACGTCTCCCCTCTCAAGTAGCATTCTCACCACTTCCTTGTGCCCATACTTAGCAGCAGAGCAGAGCGGCGTTACGCTTTCCTTGTCCGGTCTGTCGGGGTTGATGTCGTTCCGCCGTAGTAGCACTTCCACCACTTCCTCATGCCCGCCCTCGGCAGCGAAATGGAGTGGCGTCTGACCGTCACCATCTGGTTTGTTGGGATCGACATCGCCCCGTGCGAGAAGCATTCTTACCACCCCTTCGTGCCCATTCACAGCAGCACAACAGAGCGGTGTTTCTCCGTAATCACCGGGCTTGTTGGGGTCGATGGTGCTCTGCTCGAGTAGAATTTGGACCACTCTCTCATGTCCTTTCCAAGAAGCAAGCAGGAGCGGGGTTTGGCTGTACGTATCTTCTTCTGCACCGACGTCGATCTGTTTGAGCAGCATTTCCACCAGCCCCGCGTGCCCATTCCAAGCGACACAATGGAGTGGCGTCTGGCCATCGTTATCCGGTTTATTGGGGCTGACGTCGTCCCGTTCGAGTAGTAATCCCACCACTCCCTCGTGCCCATTCTCGGCGGCCGACAGTAGCGGTGTCGCACCGTGCCCGTCTGGTTTGTCAGGGTTGATGTCATCGTGTCCGAGCAGTATCTCCACCACCTCCTCACGCCCGTTCAGGGCGGCCCATATGAGGGGTGTTTTTCCCCCGCGGTCCTCCTTATTAACATCGCAGCCCTCCATCTCTACTAAATAATCTACAGCCTCGTCAATGCCAAAGACGGATGCAAAGCACAGACCCCCGGATAGGGAAAGCCTAGGAACTTCGGTGTAAGCAGTTCTGCGCAAATTGAAGGGTTGCCTGATGGTGGATACTCAAGGATTGGTCGGTATCGCGGATCGGGGGAGGCACTGGACAAAGATTGTGATAGTGGTGGACGTGCACAGTATTTTTGTCGCAATGGAGGCGTAGAGAAGCGTGCTCTTCGTCTACTGAAGGTGGCATGCGAGATTGTTTTTATACAATTTCGTATAATACGGTATTAAATGGTTTGAAAACTGTACATTATTTCAATGTCTGTGTTTTGTTCGACACTTAAAATTTTCAAAAGATTAGGTCCTGTTTGATGCAGCAGGTTTGAAAATTCTGTTAGTCAGCAACCATAGTTTGTCTCAAAAGACCCGTCTGATCAGATAAAAATGTTTGACTTGATAGCAGCAGTTGATTTGATAAACTAACCAGTTCTCAGATAGATGCACCTTTGAATACTTAAGTATAGGCTGCCTGGATTAAAAATGATTCTTTCCTTGTTTGTATGCCTTACTCCGCTACCAGGAGTATGATTGGCGTTACCCCAGGCGCTGGCTTGACATTTACCGATGCCCTAACTACTCCTGTCTCCGAGCCAAGAATGGGCACCTCTTTTGGAATAGCCTCCCCAGATCCATTTATGGTAAAGTCTTGATGCTGCTTTCAGAAGAAGTTAAGACATCACCGAACAGTGGGAATAAATACTGTGAATTCACCAATCCCCCCTCCCCCGTCCCCCGTCCCCAGTAGTGAACTGCCCTATCAGGCATTAAACCTGTTATCACCCCCACAGGCTTGGACTTGCAATAAATTTACATGAAAGTTTATACAAAAATGATATTTGGATATGCTTGTGGAGAGCGATAATGGCACCATGTGTAGCGATGGTAAGGCTCTTTCCCTTCGTCATAGCACTGTTGATAATATTAATTTCTGAATTTGACGTAACCAAGAGAAAGCACTTACATTGTATGAGAACCAGTCTTGTTGACGGAATTTTGAGAACTTTCATGGTAGTTTTATCATATGTTGATATCACCCCGCCCAGTTACTGGCATCTCGTGTCACTCTCACTGTCTTTCAAATAGCATGAACACTTTACTACTTTTAGGAGCATATAGCCTATTCCTAATTGGGTGCCCATTCTTGGCTCGGAGACACGAGTATGTCAGCCTTGTGTGGGGCTCGATACCGCGTGTCCCAGACCATTGGTATTTCCGCGGACGCTTCCCCAGCATGTGTGTGCTGAGGCACAATGATAGGCATGATCCCTACGAGACAGGAGTATTGTGGCGTTGGTCTTCCAAAATGCGCCCTACCGCTGGGATGCTGTTGGGGGGTAGTTGTCAACTTATCGTCTCGTGGATTCTCCTGCAGCATAATGAGACTTACACCAAAATCCAGTCACTGTCCAAACTCCGATAAAGGCCCAATAAACTGCCGGGACATTTCCCAGAGTGCCAGGGAGCTGGCTGCGGGATGGCGATACAAGTACACCGCATTGTTTGCTATTCTCCGCCGTTTCCCCCACCTGGACTGCCGAGACTTCTAAGTTCCTCGGAGTAAATTTCCATCTCCGCTGCCGCCAGACGCTGTGACTCCAATACCCATTCTTTACACTTTCAGCTTCGAAGGACCCGGGATAGGAGTGCATCCCATAACCGCTCCGAAAGCACAGTAGACTACGGAATTATTCATCTCCTTATCCAAGGTCGGGCCCTCCGCTTCCCGTTCTACCAAATCCTCCCCTTATTGACTTGTTTAGGGTCTAGCGAAAGGATTTTGAACCATCGCACCTCGACTGGTGACAAATAGCCCCTTCCCGCTCCAGATACGCTAGCGATATCTTATTACTTTCCTACCCCACCTTTGGAAACGTGCCGAGAGTTAGCTAAACACCCGAAGGCGGGATGGATCGGTGGGTTCCTTTTCCCTTCAACATCCCCGATTTCCAAAGTAATAAGCACTAGCCTAATAACCTTCCCAGAAAAAGCCGAGTCTATACAGACGGAAACTTCAGCAGGAATTCAGGGGATGATAATGTTTTTGGTAGCAATCATAATAACCCGAACACGATCAACCTGAGGAATGTCACCAATCACGGAGCAATCTATCAAGGATGTGTGTTCGGCGCCACGGGCAGAGGTATTACCAGCTTACCCGTGAGATTTCCAGCAGAGGTTAATACGCTATTACAACTAGAAGAAGCACCCAGGCCTTATTGGATAATTCCTTATCGCAGAAACACTAAGTTCATTGGCCGCGAAGATCTCATTGGGTTGATAAAGAGGCTTTCCGAGCGTAACGGCCAGAACCGGATCGCGCTCCATGGATTAGGCGGTTCAGGGTACGCACTCACCCCCTTGGTATTTCGGGGATCCGCTAACGTTGCTTAGGAAGACACAGGTTGCCCTCGATTACGTTTATCAGCGCGCAAGCGAGACGGATTGTGATATTTTCTGGGTGCACGGGAGTGGGGTACAGAATTTTAGTGAGGGTTTCAGAACTATCGCACAGCACGTTCAAATTCAACTAACCAGCACCGAGACAGACCCAGAGGGATCCATATTAAATATAAGGAGGTGGTTTGAGGGTCAAGGTAGCCGTGATTGGATTCTGGTCATCGATAACGCCGACAATGAGGAGGACTTTACCGGCAACAGCGGTCCCATCTCCAAATTTGTACCACAAGGCCAAAGGGGTACTTTAATATTCACCACCAGATCACTCCGGGTTACATCTTGGCAGGGTTGCGAAAGGATTGAGGTTGGTAAAATAAAGGAGGAGGAAGCCAAGGCATTGTTTTCGAAACGCCTGGGTAGCTTGAATAGTTCGGGAGATGAAGAACAAGAGGCGGTCACAATGGTCCTGGACTCCGTACATCGCATACCACTAGCTATCGTGGGAGAGGCAGCCTTCATGACAGAGACACAGACATCGCCATCCACTTACTGGAATATCTTTCGTGGGAGCGACCAACAAGCAAGAAGGCTCCTTTCGCAGCCGTTTTGTGATATCCAACGAGAGGCGGATATGATCGAAAGCATCCTGGCCACGTACTTCGTCACCTTTGACCGGATCACGCGGCAGATGCCCCTAGCCGCAGGTCTTCTGCGCTTGATTGCGTTCTACGATCGTCAGAACATACCCGAAGAGCTATTGAATCAAAGTGGTTGGGAAGGGATGGACGACCGAATTCAGTTTCGCCAGGCCATTGGGAAACTATTGGGATTTTCACTGGTTACGACTGTAAAATGTAAGGACAAGACATTTTACGAGCTTCATCGTTTGGTCCAACTGTCTTTACAAATTTACCTACCAACCGAAGAGTTGAATCGATGGAGGACCACCGCGCTGGGAGTGGTTTCACGTTTGTTCCCTCGGGATGAGGACAAATGGAGATATAGTGGTTCTGCATACATTGCACATGTGCTTGCAGTAACAAAAGGTTCCACGGATCCCACTGCCGAAGAGCTTTGTTACCCCCTAGGACAGTACTATATAGATATGGGCTTCTACGACGACGCAGAAATTCAATTGCGTCGATGTACTGCTGTGCGGGAAGAAAGCGGAGAGTATGACTGCGATGAAGAAGGTCAGAGGAGGATTATACTCCTCGGGGCGGTAAGCATATATCAGGGAAAGGCAGAGGTGGCCGAGAAGATGCTTCGGAATTTGTTGGGGGGCATTGAGGGATTATTGAATGTAAATAATCCCACCGTCCTGCACGCCGTCGACTGCCTAGCTATGGCGCTACGATACCGAGGAAAGTATAACGAATCAGAGGCGATGAATCGGCGTGTACTGGAGGGGCGCAAGAGGAGTCTTGGACTAGACCACCCGAGCACCCTAACAAGTGTCAAAAACCTGGCTATTGCATTGCGATGCCAAGCGAGGTACAATGAATCGGAGGCGTTGAATCGGCGTGCACTGGAGGGGCGTGAGAAAATTCTTGGACCAGACCACCCAGACACCCTAACAAGCGTCAATAACCTAGCTATTGTACTTCGACATCAAGGAAAGTTTACTGAATCGGAGACGATGCACCGACGTGAACTGGAGGGGTGCGAGAAGATCCTTGGACCAGACCACCCGGACACCCTAACCAGTATCCACAACCTGGCTACGGTTCTGCTATACCAAGGAAAGTACGATGAATCCGAGGCAATGCATCGGCGTGCTCTGGAGGGGCGTGAGAAAACCCTTGGACCTGACCACCCATACACCGTTTCAAGTGCCCACAACCTGGCTACGTCGCTGCGTAGCAGATAGAGACTATGATGATTCAAAAAAAAATTAGAGCACTACGCACGGCAAACACCTCCGAGAGCCACTGAGGATAAGCGGCCACCATTTTCCTACTGCGCTGCCACTATTCGCGAGGTAAATTGGTTTTCCGCAAGGGTAACACATGGGCAATGTTATCTATCCCCTCGCAGGTAGTTTGTCTGCACGAGAGTTGACAGGTGTGGGCTACTAGCTTCTACTGGTATGGGGAGCCGTAGGAATCTGCAAGGAGGAAGGGGTGGATAGTTCGGAACTCGCAGGGGGCTGTGGACAAGGTAGAAGCCCTGAGTGGCAGGGTGTTGCGGTGGGTGCGGGGGAAGTACTCAGCATTTTTCGTCTTCTTATTTGTATTTTATTTTCCATTGCTTCTCTTCTCTTTCCGACAACCTATCGGTCCACGGCCAATCGGAAATTCTGTAAGTTATGCCTTCTCACCTGATATACACCCTTGTAACCACTCCTTTACATTTAGTCATCAGAAGTCACTCGTGTGTTATCATTCAAGCGGGCATAAATAAATGCCAATACACCTTCTACATTTTCACACTATATCAATTGATCTAAAATATGGGATACTTATTGCAAAAAAGAAAAATATTATTGCTGTTGGAAGTCTGTGCTCTGGTATAATAGTAAAAAATCATAAGAACAATCAAAAGATATTAGAGAAGATAACGATAGAAAGTAGAAAGCTAAAGAGGGAAAGGCCCATAAAATAAGAGAAGTACAATGTTTATCTTTTTCTTATTTTGTCTGGTTTTTAGAATATGCTTATTAAATAATTTTACAGGTTTTAAGTAAACTACTAGTTACAATACAGTACTGTTCCAGTTGAAGGTAGGAGAAACTAATGGTAAATTTTGATCATGATATGTATTGTGATCAAGGATGAAACTGTCATAATATACCAGGAACACATATAGGATAATTGACTCTGCTAACGTAGTGCATATAAATACTCTCAAGCTCAAACTTTGCATACACAACTTATACCAATGTAGATAAATAAAGTAAATAGTAAAACTTAATATTATTAAGTAAAAGCATTACTTAGTAAAGGTATTTTCTTTTCTAAAAATCATCACGTTTTTATGTTTTAAAGTACAAGAATGTGGGAGGGAAGAATATCGGAGAACCACATCCTCAATCTCAATTACAACTTCAGTGGTTGAAAATAATTGGCAAATTAGGAATCACTCATTATCAGAAAACTTGTCACCTGTTTTTGGATCTTGCACCCTCTCTGCCAGGCGAGATTAGGGAACTCAGTTACATATTTCTTTCCTACTAAGGGCTCCTTTGCAGTCTCCCTATCCCCCTAGACTCTTGTTATCCCAGCTGAGGATTTCGACTCTTTCCTTCCAGGAGTCAAGTTATAATATTTCTATTGCAATGATCTCTACTGTAACCGGAACCGGAATTTAGTCTGTTCAGTTTCAGGATTTGTTTCATGTTTTGTTTTTCTTGTGGTTTCAAGTATCCTTTGATACTCAGTTTGTTTTACTTGTGGTTTCTAGTATCCTTTGATACTCAGTTTTATTTACTTGTGGTTTCAAGTATCTTTTGAGACTCAGTTTGTTTTATTTGTAGTTTGGAGTAAGGAATGCTTGGGAAATCACCCATGCAGGACATGGATGGATTTTTGTATTCAAAGACCACTGATTTCTTCAAAGAAACAGCAGACTTCGACGGAGAGAGTATTTCTAATATACTTGGTTGAATGGTTACCTCTTCAAGTCCCTATTCTTTTTATCTTTCCCTTGAAGCCTTCCTTAGTACAGTACGTCCATCGGTTGTAGATTAACTTGTGCACTGCTTCCATTATACCTGGAAGCATGACTAGCACCCCGGTGCGACCACGTTACATCTACCGTGAATAGAGGCTGGCACAAGAGGCCAAGATTTCTCTCATATCCTAGGAAACTAGTTCTTAGACCGATACGTATTGTTATGAATAGAAGAATACGTGGTGTTGTATGTGACTAAATATATAACTTGAAGGTCATGTGTTCAAGTCTGGACCCCACAGCAGTTAATATCATGATGTCATATTATTGCATGGAACTATAAGGCTTCTTCACAACCTACTCTGCAGAGATACGAGGCATGCAATGCAGGGGCTTTTGCTAGATCACATAGAAGCGGCTCTACTCTATAAGATGAGACTTAATTTGTTCAGATTGGTCAATGAATTATGGAGCTATGACCTCTGCAAGTCTATGTGCTGTTACTCCTGTAGAAATAGGAAGCAATATACAACCCCTTTACACTTTTAGAAACCAGAGTCATTCAAAGACTGGTTCACAATTGGACAATAACAACTTACTAGTTGAGTTAGTTATCTTGGTCATGCACTCTAACCTATGAACATAGAGGAGTTATTGATAAGTCCTTTGACAGAGCTGATCACTGTACTGAGAAAGAGAGAAGGGAAGTGAATTTTCAGGGTCAAATAGAGTTTGCACCCTGAAGGCAGTAAATCATTTGTATGGCAGGTACATGCTCAGTAAGGATTTGAAATAGCCAGCCACCATCCAGATGTGGAATATGAATATTGAGGTGCCTCTGTAGCTTTAAAAGCGCTCCGCACCCTCTACTTTGCTCTCACTTAAAAGGATTACCGCATTCGGCCAGGCAAAACTCTAGGGTTTTGCATGGCAACTATCTCTACATACCTAATTCCTACCCTTGCTTAGGCTTCAGTCTCTAGTAAGTGCACAGCCCCCTCACTACCCCGCACAGCCCTCTTCATTATGATCATAGAGGGGTCAGGTCCAGGGCCTTCAAGGTCTACCTCTCGACCCTCCAGCTGTGCTTCACTCTGTGAGTCAAGGGCACAAACCCCCTTTCTTCCTGCTCATCTTTCTCTGGTCAGAAAAGAGCTAGGCCACACTCTCCACGATATAGAGTGCAGAGCCGCTCCAATTCCCCCCCTAACCGATTCCGAGATTCAAGAACTGTCAGCAGGCCAAGCCATCCTCCTCCGACTACTCTGCACCCCCTCTCCGGGATCAGTAGCATTATTCACAGACTAGAGGCCCTGGAGCAGTGTTCTATGGATTCTCCCAAGGACCCTCCCTCCATCCCTGCACTAGAAGTCTCTGTCCGGGACCTCTCCCAGAGAGTCACGGCGTCGGCTGCCTGCCCCTCGGTTGCCCCTCTGGGCCCTCCTCCCCCTACTGCAAAAGAGACCAGAGGTCTGCTGCCTCCCCCTCCTCCCTCAGCTCCCCCAGGAGCCAAGTACCGCCTCCCCCCCTGCTAGGTCCAAGACAACTCAGTTGCAGACATCAACTCCCCCATCCAGGTATACGGTATGTTGTATAGTAATCCAGGCACGTTTACTGTAAGACATCGCCGCTCCTTTTCAGCTTTCCACTTTGCCCAGGGTGACTTCCCAGGAAGAATCCACCTTTTGTCCACACCCTGCCCCCTCCTTCCTCACGCTGGTTCCCCCCTCCTCCTCCTATGCCAGCACTGCAGCCCCTCCTGAAGGCCCAACCCAACAGGGCAGTGCCCAGGGGAAGAAGATAACCTCCGCAGCCCAAGTTGTGGCGTTGGCTAGTGCCCCCTCCTAGGTGTGGGAGGCTGCCATCCTTCCATCTGCCGAGCACTACTTCTTCGTACTCCCAACCATGCTGGCCCCCCACCATGATACAACATGCCTGGCAGCAACCGCCCAGGACATTGTGGCCTCCGTTCTTTGGGAGGCAAACTGTACTTTCCTGGTCCCCTTTTCAGCCACTGTTAACCCACATGGTGTGATTACTCTTCTCACTACAGATCCCCTCACGCCAACCACCAGCTACTCCACCTACTACGAGGTCCTTGCTAACAAAATCAACCCATCCTTCACAGTTGGAGACAACCCCTACCGCCCTTTCCATCACACGCCCAATGAGGTGCAGCTGGTCATTTATGGCCTTGCAGTTGCCTTTGTCCCTCAGGACCACACTGACCTCTTCCCCACACTTACCAAATCCATCAAGAACGCCATGGATATCAACATCTTTGGTGTACGCCAGCTCCAGCCCGACCCTCTCCTATGCACTGCGACCACCTCAGTGGTCATTATTATTGCCCCCTCTGATGTGGCCCATATTGGGTCCCAAATACTACTCTACTCCAAGCTCCGTAATGTTCAAAACATGATCTCCTAAAACAACTCCATGCACTGCAGACACTGCTGGAAGTTTGGTCACCCAGCCCCAGCATGCACTGCCACCATTGCTGTCTGCCCAATTTCTGCATCAAACCACACCAGGGCCAACCACCGCTGCCCCAACCCAACATGCCCCAAGATGGGCTTCCTCAAACCCGTCGTTGCCTGTTGTGCAGCCCCCCCCCCCCAACGTGTGCAAACTGCTTTGGCAGTCACCCAGCCACCGACCGGTCCTGCTAGTCTCACCCTTCACAACCACTGCAACAGGCTTTGGGGTCTGAGGTAGTAGATCAGGGGGGCCATGATACTATGGACCAAGACGAATGCCCCACCAAGCAATGCCCACACGACCACTCCCCCTTTCCCAGATGCCCACCTATTGGCCACCCCCAGACCCCTCAGCACTCCCGTGCCTCGAGCTCCCGTGCCCTCCTCCCTGGCTGCAAGCTTCTTCACCTTCCTCAGGGAATTCAGCAGCCCATCCCTGTTCCCTCCGACTTCCTTCCCTAAGTGATACTACAACCCATGGATCCTAACTTGGTGGACTCAGACCAATTGCCACTATCCCCTTCTTTCATGCCTTTTCTTTCCCTTGTTCAACATAACTCCTTCGGGAGTTGGAATGTTTTTCTTTCCCTGTTTAACAGCCTTGTTGCACTGCCCTCTCCTCCTCTGGTGGTAGCCCTCCAAGACTCCCCAGTCTGGTGGGAGAAACTACCATCCTTCTCCATGTATAAATGCGTTTCCCCTCCTGTCGCCTCAGGCCGCAAGCCTAAGATAGCCTTCTTTGTTTACCAGGAGCTTCTTGGAGTCTACCCTGTTCTTCCCTGTTTTTTTGATCAACCTGACCTCATAGCTCTGGACATCCACTCGCCTAGGGACTTGTTCTCATCTTCTCTCCATGTGTTTCAGATTTACAACTGATGTTCCATTAACTTGGTGTCTTCTCACCACCAGATAGTGTTACTGGTGGATGCCTTCCATCTTCATGACGTTCCCAC